TTTTTTTTTTTTTGTGCACATTAACCATCCCCACTTTCCTCCCACTTCCCCACTACCCTGCCCAGCCTCTGGTAACCATCCTTCTACTCTGTATCTCCATAAGTTTAATTGTTTTTATTTTTAAGTTGCACAGGTAAGTGAGAACATGCAATGTTTGTCTTTCTGTGCCTGGCTTATTTCACTTAACATAATGACCAATTCCATCCGTGTTGTTGCAAATGACAGGATCTCATTGTTTTGTGTGGGTGAATAGTGTTTTTGTGTGTAAGTACCACATTTTCTTTATCCAGTCATTTGTTGATGAACACTTAGGTTGCCCCAAATCTTGGCTATTGTGAACAGTACTGCAAAAAACATGGAATGCAGATATGTCTTCGATATCTGATTTTCTTTCTTTGGGGTATATACCCAGCAGTGGGATTGCTGGATAATATGGTAGCCTTATTTTTAGTTTTTTTGACCAACCTCCAAACTGTTCTCCGTAGTGGTTGTATTAATTTACATTTCCAACCACAATGTATGAGGGTTCCCTTTTCTCCACGTCCTCACCAGCATTTGTTATTGCCTCTCTTTTGGATATAAGCCGTCTTAACTGGGGTGAGAGGATATCTCATTGTAGTTTGATTTGTATTTCTCTGATGATCAATAATTTTGAGCATCTTTTCATTACCCATTTGCTATTTCTAAGTCTTCTGTCTTCTTTTGAGGAATGTCTATTCAAATCTTTTATCCACTTTTTATTGGATTATTAGATTTGCTCCTATAGAGTTGTTTGAGCTCCTTATATATTCTGGTTACCAATTCCATGTCAGATCGGTAGTTTGTAAATATTTTCTCCCATTCTATGGGTTGTCTCTTCACTTTGTTGATTGCATCCTTTGCTGTGCAGAAGCTTTTTAACTTGATGTGTTTCCATTTACCCATTTTTGCTTTGGTTGCCTGTGCTTGTGGGGTATTACTCAAGAAATTTTTGCCCAGACCAATGTCCTAGACATTTTCCCCAATGTTTTCTTGTTAATAGTTTCATAATTTGAGGTCTTAGATTTAAGACTTTAATCCATTTTTATTTGATTTTTATATATGACAAGGGATAGGGATCTAGTTTCATTCTTCTGCATATGGATATCCAGTTTTCCCAGCACCATTTATTGAAGTACGTTCCTGACACCTTTGTTGAAAATGAGTTCACCACAGGTGTGTGTATTTGTTCCTGGGTTTTCTGTTTTGTTCCATTGGTCTATGTGGATATTGGTCTTTGTGTCTATTTTCTGGTCTTTTCCATTGGTCTGTGTGTCTCTTTCTCTGCCAAGACCATGCTATTTGGGTTGCTGTAGCTCTGAGGTATAATTTGAAGTCAGATAATGTGATTCCTCCAGTTTGTTCTTTTTGTTCAGGATAGCTTTGGCTATTCTGGGTTGTTTGTGATTCCATGTAAATTTTAGAATTGTTTTTTCTATTTCTGTGAAGAATGTCATTGGTATTTTGATAGGACTGCATTGAATCTGTAGATTGTTTTGGGTAGTATGAATATTTTAACAATATTGATTCTTGCAATCCATGAACATGGAATATCTTTTCATTTTTTGTTGTCTTCTTCAATTTCACTGTTTTATAGTTTTCGTTATAGAGATGTTTCACTTCTTGAGTTAATTCCTAGGTATTTAATTTTATGTGTAGCTACTATAAATGGGATTACTTTTCTTTCTTTTTCAGGTTATTCTCTGTTTGCATATGAAAATGCTACTGATTGGCCAGGTGTGGTGGCTCATGCCTGTAATCCCAGCACTTTGGGAGGCCGAGCCTAATGGATCACTTGAGGTCAGGAGTTTGAGACAAGCCTGGTCAACATGGTGAAACCTTATCTATACTAAAAATACAAAAAATTAGTGGGGCATGGTGGCACATGCCTGTAATCCCAGCTACTGGGGAGGATGAGGCAGGAGAATCACTTGAACCCGGGGTCAGAGGTTGCAGTGAGTTGAGATTGCGCCACTGCACTCCAGCCTGGGAGACAGAATGAGACCCTATCTCAAAAAAAAAAGAAAAAGAAAAAGGAAAAGAAATGCTACTGATTTTTTATTTATTTGTGTTGCTTTTGTATCCTGCAACTTTACTGAATTTATCAGTTCCAATTGTTTTTTGGTAGAATCTTTAGGTTTTTCCAAATATAAGGTCATATCATCTGCAAACAATGATAATTTGATTTCTTCCTTTCCAGTTTGGATGCTGTTTATTTCTTTCTCTTGTCTGCTTTGCTCCAGCTAGGACTTCCAATGCTATGTTGAATAACAGTGCTGAAAATGGGCACACTTGTTGTGTGCCAGATCTCAGAGAAAAGGCTTTCTGTTTTTCCCAATTTAGTGTGATACTAGCTGTGGGTCTGTCATATGTGGTTTTATTGTGTTGAGGTATGTTCCTTCTATACACAGTTATTTGAGAGTTTTTATCTAGAAGGATGTTGGATTTTATCAAGTGCATTTTCAGCATCGATTGAAATCATTACATGGTTTTTGTCCTTCATTCTTTTGACATGATGTATCCCATTGATTGATTTGTAATATGTTGAACCATTTTTGTATCCCTGGGATAAATCTGACTTGGTCGTAATGAATGATTTTTAAATGTGTTGTTGAATTTGGTTTGCTAGTATTTCATTGAGAATTTTCATGTCAATGCCCATCTGGGATATTGGCCTATAGTCTTCTTTTTTTGATGTGTCTTTGTCTGGTTTAGGTATCAGGGTAACACTGGCCTTGTGGAATTAGTTTGGAAGTATTACCTCCTCCTCTATATCCTGCAGTTTATATATTTAGCCTTTTGCATGTATCGGGGTTTCCTACATTATCTAATAAATGATCTTTTTTTAGTGTTTATGCTAAAAAATAATATGTTCTGTGCCTATGGGCTATAAAGTTATAAACAAGTATATATAGCCTATTAATTGTATTTTTCAGAGTTTTGATGTCTCTAATTCTTTCTTTATCCATCTGTTTCTGCAGGAGGTATATTAAGATTTTAAATCACTGAGATAGCTATTTCATTTGCACATCTGTCAATTGTTGTTGTATATACTTTAAAGTTGTAAGTTGTATATGTATTCCTATATTCTCTTTTACCAGCATCCTATATCCCTCTTTGGCCCACTGGTGATTTCTTGCTTTAATATATATTCAGTCAGATATTAAAATTTTATCCAACTTTTTGATGCAAGGTTTATCTTTAGAAGTTCTTTTTCCATCCTTTTGTTTTTCAAACTTTCTATATCTTTGTTTGAACTGTCTGTCTTATAGGACATATATTGGTGGCCTTTGTTTTCTTATAATCAAATCTGTGATTATCTGTCCTGTATTTACTGATTTTTAACTTTTTCTGAACAATATATCCTGTTGTCTTAAGATACATTACTGTTATTATTGAATTTATTTTTGCTTCAGTATTTTCTCTCTTTTCCTGCTCACTATGGGGTAGATTGAGTTTTCTTCTTTGTTTGTTATGTTTATTCTCTTTTAGCTGAAGACTGACATTCATGCCTCTTTTAGCTGATGCCTCTTTTAGCTAAAGACTGACATGCGTCATTATTTTCCCCTATGATCAAAATGTTTTCATATCTATATTTGTCCCTTTCAAGATAAGTACTTTAGTACACTCTTTGGTCTTCCCCACACTTCCACTCTCGTTATGTTAATGCTATGTAGAATTATAATTTCTGGTTGTTATAGAAATATTTTCTCTCTCTTTTTTCCTTGGACTTCTGCATACTCATGCTTGTGCTCTCTCTCTTTTAGAAAATAGCAAACTAATAAGAAATTGTTTCAAACTTACTTTTTATATCTATTATAGGCTTATCTTCAATTTATTCCTCTTTTCGAGTACTTCTTCCAAGAGAGTTTTCAGAGTAGGTTTTTGTGTAGCAAACCTTCTGAGAACTTTAATCAAGACTGTTTTTGATATGCCCTCATATCTGAATGGCAAGTTCGTTATAAAAGTCTAACTTCAAAGTTATTTTCCTTTAATATATTAAAATCTCTAATTCCTTAAAAATATTATTCCATTTTCCTGTTGCTCCAGGGTCACTCTGAAGAAGGTCAATGTTACTTCAATATTTATTCTTTTATAGTGTATCTACTTTTTCTCTTCGTATGTTCTTAAAATTTTCACTTTACCTTTATGTTCATAATATCACTATAAATTCTCTAGTTGTGAGTTTTGGTACTCTATTAGCCCTTTTAATATATACTCTTTTATTTTTAGTTCTCTAAATTAACAGGAGTCTTAAACTGTGAGATTCTTTGTTTCACATGATTGAATGAGTTGGACTTTTCCGGTTCAAGAGTTTGCAGCATCCAAGCTCTAATAAAACTAAGCTGTTTTCTTAGTACTTACATGTGTTCTGGATTTTATAGATTTTCTTTGATTTTTTTAATGTTTGTTTGTTTGGTTGGTTTTTAAGACAGGGTTTCAGTCTGTCACCTAGACTTGAGTGCAGTGTCCTGATCTCAGCTCACTGCAGCCTCGACCTCTTAGGCTAAAGCAATCCTCCTGCCTCAGCCCCCCAAGTAGCTAGGACTACAGGCACCCACCACCATGCCAGCTAATTTTTTATATTTTTTGTAGAGACACGGTTTTGCCATGTTGCTCAGGCTGGTCTTGAACTCCTGGGCTCAAGCCGTCCATTTGCCTCAGCCTCCCAAAGTGCTGGGGTTACGGTAGTGAGACACTACGCATGGCCTTTTTTTTTTTTATTTTAATGAAAATGCAATTTGATATTTTTTTCCTTGTTGCTCTGTGAGATTTTCAGAATAGATACCTGTCTTTAAACTGGTGCCAAGATTTTGAAGATTTTGATTTATATTTATATTTTGAGAATTTTCATTTGGTTTTTTTTTTAAGAAAATAAAAATATCAGTTGGCAGGTTTTGCTCTCTCTCCCTTTTATAAGCATTCTTTCATCTCCCTCTAGCAGGGCCTACAAACTTTCCACTCTTCTCCAGTTATAAGTTTTGGGTGCCTCTTGTGTTAGTTTTAACATTTTTCAAGAATTTCCACATGCACATCAATGGTTTTACTTTTGAGCCTTATTATATATTCATCTTTTCATCAGCTTTACAGGTCAGTATATGTGGCAGTCTGAGCTTATGGAAAAGTTTTCTATATAAACACACCAGTTTATTCAGCTACCCCATTTGTATTATACCCACATTTGTATAATTTTTACATTAATAACTATGCAAGCTGTCAACTGTTTAATAAATTGTTACTCACCAAATTATGTGATTCATAGAAATATAGAAATGTCACAAAGATCAAAATTTAAAATTATAATGATTTTAATATTAAATTTGGAGTAATTCAGTTTTTTATTTAATGTTGTATTTTTGATGGCTTACACAGTGACCAGCCATGTGTAACACACCCACATAGTAATATATCTTATTTAAAAATATTCTGTAGTTGTGCTCTTTATACTATTTGCTCACTTGAGGTACAAGAATCTGAATCACATTTAATAGGCAATTGTGATCTGTCTGACTTATTTACATATCTGTCTCTTACATATCCAAAGTGAGTCATTATCTCCAAGTAACTAAAAGATTCACTGAGAATTACTGAAACCGCATCATTGAATAAGAACTACATATAGTTTGCCATCCAGCTGATTCTAAGGAACATCATATATAGTCATGAATATTTTATAGTAGGATTATGATTTTATTTCAAAACATTCCAAAGTAAGAAATTTGTGAAACTCATTAGCCAGGTGGGATAACCTATCTGAGTATCTCTTTAATTATCCCCACCCTATGATCTGTGCATACAATGCTATTCTTATTCTATACCTGTGTGACTTCTTGCTTATATTCAGGTAGGTGTCTAGGCTTATGTTATTAACTGCAGAGGATTCATAAGTTCCGGCCTGAAGTGGAGAGTCTCATAAATTCCACTTAAGAGATCAATTCCATTTAATCTTTTAAAAATTCTGCCAGCTGATTGCCTACCTGCAGTTCTTGCCATAGAAGCTGCCTTTTTCTCCATTGTACAGTCCTACTGGGTATTTCCTTCACCTGCTTTGTCTCATTGTAGGGATGCAAGGAATGAAAACTGGAATGGAAGAGATCGGTGCAAAAGAAAAGATAAATCCCACTTTTTTCTGTGGACATAGTTACCATTCTATCTACAGTGAAATAAACCCTCCTTTAGAAGGGTTTCCCTTATAATACCTTAGTTAAAATATTAAGTATCTTTCCAAGCTGCAGCTGCTCTTTGGAATATTTTAATTTATAACATCATGTCTTTAATCTTGTAAATTTTATTTACTGTCTTAAAATATTCTTAACATTGAAACACTAAAATAGTCATTACAAAATTGAAAACCTCTCTTAATAGTGATTAGAATTACAAAAAGGTCTAGAACCTTTTATGTTTTCTTTTAGTGTAGGATAATTAGATGGTTATACACTGGTAACCTCTGGTAACCTCTAGTTTTTCAATGTTAAACAATGGATTCTTAATCTGGGAGAGGATCTATGAATTTGCTATCAGGTGTCTGTGAACATAAAATTTTGTGTTCCCTGTATTTTTCTGGAGACAGTAGTAATAGTTTTCATTATTCTCAGAGACAGAGGTTGGTGAACTAAAAAATCAAGAACTACTATCTTAAAGAGCAGTAATTGGTACCTAGTTAAGAGAGATTTTGGAAGACAAAAATTTAAGGGTTCAATTTGCAGTGCATTTTAAATTTATGTATTTATTTCCTTTTAGAAAGTAATATGTATTGCAACTCAGCAATTGGGTTTACAAAACTGGTCATCTCAGAAAGAGAAGATTATACAGTTTTATAATCAACTTCGGGTAAGTATAAAATGACATGTTAGCAATTTTGCCTGTGTTTCAATAGGAATTAACAAAATAAAGGGCAAGAATAATAATAATAAAAGAGAGATGTTACAGGTATAATATTTTTTGAATTCAGTGATTTATTAATTGTTAGTCAAGACTTTATTATTTGACTTTCACATAACTCAACAAATGGATCTTTTCACCTTCATCTCCTTAATACATATACATAAAAACCCTGCAAATGTAATGTAAAATATCCTGCATTCCATTGCTATACCTTCTTTGAATTTCCTATTTTCCATGAATGAACCATTTGGATAAACATCAGAATATGCATTTCCCTGATTGCTAGTAAGATTGTATATCCTTTTTTATACTTATTAGCCATTTGAGTTTTCTGTGAATTGCCAGATTATGTTATGTACTCATTTTTTAATTGGATTGTTTGTCTTTTTCTTAGCAAACTTATAGATTTTTCATTATGCATTTATATATCATAATTTTTCTTTTTTTTCTTCTTCTCCTCCTCCTTTCTCCTTTCTTCTTCTTCTTCTCTTTCTCCCTCCTCCTCCTCCTCTTGTTCTTCTTCTTCTTTTTCTTCTTCTTCTTTCTTCTTTCTTTTTTCTTCTTTCTTCTTTCTTCTCCTTCAATAGAGTCTCACTCTGTCACCCAGTCTGGAGTGGAGTGATACAATCATAGCTCACTGCAGCCTCCAACTCCTGGGCTCAAGTGATCTGAATATCTAGGGATGCAGGCACATGACACTATGCACGACTAATTCCTTTAGTTTTTGTAGAGGCAGGGTCTTGCTGTGTTGCCCAGGCTGGTCTCAAATTCCTGGCCTTAAGCAACCTTCCTGCCTCGACTTCTCAAAGTAGTGGGATCACAGGCATGAACCACGTCCAGCCTATATCATAATTATTTATTGGTTATGTGCATTGCAAGTAAATTCTCTGTGTCTTTGCTTTTTAGAAATGTCTATGGTGCTCAGTTTTACAGAAGACTTTTTTTTTTATTATACTTTAAGTTCTAGGGTACATGTGCACAACATGCAGGTTTGTTACATATGTATACATGTGCCATGTTGGTTTGCTGCACCCATTAACTCGTCATTTACATTAGGTATATTTCCTAATGCTATCCCTCCCCGCCCGCTCCCCACAGTAGGACCCAGTGTGTGATGTTCCCCTTCCTGTGTCCAAGTGATCTCATTGTTCAATTCCCACCTATGAGTATTATACCACATGTGGTATTTGGTTTTCTGTTCTTGCGATAGTTTGCTGAGAATGATGGTTTCCAGCTGCATCCACGTCCCTACAAAGGACACGAACTCATCCTTTGTTAAGGCTGCATAGTATTCCATTCCAGTGTATATGTGCCACATTTTCTTAATCCAGTCTGTCACTGATGGACATTTGGGTTGATTCCAAGACTTTGCTATTGTGAATAGTGCCGCAATAAACATACATGTGCATGTGTCTTTATAGCCGCATGACTTATAATCCTTTGGGT